CAAAATGGAATACTATGCATTAAATAATGATGAATCTACGAAACACCTTGTAACATGGATGAACCAAGAGGATATGATGAATGAAATTAGTCAATCACAATCACAAAAGGACAATTATTGTATGAGACCACTACTGTAAAAAGTTAAGAAGAGGTTTACACACAGAAATAATCATTCTTTGAAGGTTACAAGGGGTGGGAAGGTTACAAGTGAGGGTAAAACATTAACTGGAGGGTAGATATGTATTAACTTAGGTAAAGGAAAAGGTAATATAAGGGGCCGGTCACCACAAAATGATCAAGGCAGCAGAAGACACAGGGAGGAACATAAGCATTAAAGGCAACAAAGTGAATTCCACATATATATAATCCTGTAATATCAATAATCTATGAGTGGGTACATAAATAAGACACACAAGCTGAACAAGGGTGGGAAGACATATAGGGCTACAGCATGAATACATATAAGTTTGACAGAAGATACTGCTACCTATGTATTTATATATGCTGCAAATATATCCATGAATGTAGTAGAGCATAAGACAGGAAAGTTATGAAAACTTCTTAGTCATAACCAAACACCCTGAGGGAATGTCAGTGCACATGGGGGTTCAGGATCATGGTCTCAGGGGACACTAAGGTCAACTGGCTTAATATTGTCCAAAGACAATGTTCTACACCCTACTTTGGTGAGTAGCAACTGGGGTCTTAAAAGCTGCTGAGCAGCCATCTAAGGTGCCACTACTGGTCTCTCCCTATCTGGAGCAAGGAAAAGTGAAGAAAATTAAAGATGCAAGGAAACAATTAGTCCACAGGACAAATGTACCACATGAAGCCCAGCTTCCATGACCCCGAGGCCAGAAGAACTAGAGGGCACCTGGCCACTAATGCTGACTGCTCTGAAAGGGATCACAAAGGAGGTCCCAGATAGAGTGGGAGAAAAATGTGGAACAAAACTAAAAATCATAAAAAAGACTAGGCTTACTGGTGTGAAGATGACTGGTGGAACTTCTGAGACTATATCCCTTACATACCTTTCAAGGCTGGAAGTGAATTCAACTCCTGTGACTCAACTTTCAGCCAACTGATAGGCCTATAAGGTGAACGGTAATACCAAGAGGGTATGTACTTACTAGAACAATCAACCACATGAGATCAAGAGGGCATTTGTCCAGGGATAAAACCAGGAAAGCTGAAGGGGATAGAAAGGAAGGACAAAGGGAAGGAGTGGGCGCAGGGAGGAAGTAGGAAGAATTCTGTTGTATTGTGGGGACAGCAGTAAATGTCACAAAACAAAATGTGTACAAATAGTTGAATGGGAAACCCAATTTGCTCTATAAACTTTCACTCAAATCACAATTAAAAAATAAAAAAAAGGAGGCTCAAGAAAGCTGAACAGAGTTTAATGGAATTAAGGGACAACAACAAGAGATCTAATTTATGAATCATAGAGTTCCAGAAGGAAATGAGGGAGAGAAGGAATACTTAAAGAAACAATGACAGGAAATTTCCTCAATCTAACAAAGGACAAGAATCTACAACATGGCAGGAAATTTCCCCAATCTAACAAAGGACAAGAATCTATAACATTATACTTAATGGAGAAAGACTGAGAGCTTTCCCTTGAAATTGTGACCGAGACAAGGGTGTCTACTCTTACCACTTCTACTCAATATTTTATTAGATGTCTTAGCCAGAGCAATAAGAAAAGAAAAAGAAATAGAAGATATCCACATTGGAATAAAATAAGTAAAATTATTTCTATTCATGATGCTATGATCCTATAGAGAGAGAGAGAGAGAAAGAATTCCCAAAGGGTCCACAAGAAAACTTCTAGAGCTAATAGAGGAATTTAGCAAACTTGCAAGGTACAAGGTCAACAAACAAAAATTGGGTTTCTATACACCAGCAATGAGAAATCTGACAGGGAAATTAGAGAAACAATTCCATTTATCATAGCATCTAGGAGAATAAAATACCTAGGAATAAATCTGACTAGGAAAGTGAAGGATGTATACAACGGAAACTATAAAACAGTACTAAAAGAGATTAAAGAAGATGTAAATAATGGGAAGATGTTCCATGTTCATGGATTGGAAGACATAATATTGTTAAGACATCAATACTACCCAAAGTAATCTATAAATTCAATGTAATCCCAATCAAAATTGCAACAGCCTTCTTTACAAAATTAGAAAAACCAACTCTCAACTTTATATGGAAAGGCAAAAGGCCCCAAATAGTTAAAACAATGTTGAAAGAGTAGAACAAAGTACAGAACTCAAACTTCCTGATTGAAAAACATACTATACAGTTAGAGTAATCAAAACAGCCTGATATTGGTATAACAACAGACATAAAGACCAATGGAATAGAATTGAGAGTCCAGAAATAAACCACCCATCTATGGTCAATTGATTTTTGAATAGGATACAAAGTCTATTTGATGAGGAAAAAGTCTCTCAATAAATCATGCTAGCCCATGCAAAAAACTGAAATAGGATCTATGGGTCATACCATGCACAAAAACAAATTCAAAATGTATTAAAGTCCTAAATGTGCAAACTAAAACCATAAAATTCTTAGAAGAACAAGCAGGAACAGCACAGTCAGGTCTACCTTTCAATAATGGATTACCTAATAAAATACAGCAAAATGAAAAATAAATAAATGGGATCTCATTAAAAAAAAAAAAACTTTTATTTTCTTTTAACTTTATGTGATTTGGTTGAAAAGTTTACAGAGCAAATTCATCTTCCATACAACAGTTCACAAACACTAAAAAAAAAAACTTTTGTTCATCAAAAGACTTTATTGAGAAAGTGAAAAGACAAGTATTTTCAGAAACCATGTATCTGACAAGAATCTAATAACCAAAATATACATAAAACTTCGACAACTTAACAACAAAAAGTCAAATAATAATCATAAAACGGGCAAAGGATGTAAATAAACATTTTACCAAAGAGGACATTCAAATGACCACTAAACACATGAAAAGATGCTCAGCCCATCAGGGATCACTACCCATCAGAGAGATGCAAATCAAAACCACATGAGATACCATTTCACTACCACTAATGCCTAAGATAAAACAACAAAACAGAAAATAAACAAATATTGTCAAGGATGTGGGGAAATTTAATGGATAACATTGCTGGTGGGAATGCAACATGGTATAGCCATTGTGGAAAACTGTGTGGCAGTTCCTCAAAAAAAAAAAAAAAAAAAAAATGAACTACTATATGACCCAGAAATTCTACTCTGTGGTATTGTGAGTCAATCTGAAGCCAGAGTTCTAGCAGCCTCCAGGAAAATCTTTAACCAGAAACCTTTTAGTGTCAGTAGTGCTAACAGAACTTTTGTAATTCTAAACACTCCTTAGGGCCTTTATCTGCCCTCCAGTCTCAGCAGGTATCAAGGAACTTCCTCCGAACTCAGCACGCATCACAAAAGCCATCCGGATTCAGCACACTCCTGAAAGTCTCCCACATATCTGAGACGCATCCTCCCTAGATAATATTTTCCTAAGTGAACTTTGGAGCCGGGGGGAGTTTCTTTACGTCCCCCAACATCTTAGATCACTGCCCTAAATCCCTTAGCCACAACCAATCACCTGTACCCCCTCGCCCCAGTGCTGCCCCTCCCCATATTGTTCCATAAATTGGTGAAAGAAACGGGGTACGGGATCTTTTGCTTAAGCCACTGACCTGGTAAGAGCAAAGACCCTAACTTAAGTTAGCTAATAAACTGTCCTATTGCATTTGCATTGTCGTGGGTTAGCATATTCTTCTCTTCCGAGATTCTCCTTTACAGCCTGGGTACAACAGTATATACCCAAAGGACTTGAAAGCAGACACTCAAAAAAGAGACCTGTACACTAGTGTTCACTGTGGCATTATTCACAATAGCCAAAGGATGGAAGACAGCCTAAATTCCCATCAACATGAAAAATATATACATACATACAATTAAATACTACTCAGCCAGTAGGAGAAATGAAATCCTGATACATGCTTCAGTATGGAGGAAGCTTGAAGATATGCTGAGTGCATTAAGTCAATTACAAAAGGATAAATATTGTATGATCTCATTTATATAAAAAGATAAGAAAAGGCAAATGTATAGAGACCAAAGTTTATTAGTGATTACCAAAGCTGTAAAGTTTTATAGAAACAGACTGCAACATCTTTCTCCTGCAGAGAAGCTGGTGGGTTCAAATAGCTGATTTTTAAGTTAGCAGTCAAATGCTTAAACACTGTGCCACCACGGCTCCTTCCATCTCAATGTTGTTGTTGTTGTTGTTATGTGCCGTTGAGTCAGACTCAACTCATAGTGACCCATACCTCCTTATGAATCAGTCCCACAGTGTTTAAAAGGGAGAACCTTTTCTGGTGTAGGTCCCAAGTTACACGTTCAAGTAGTCACACGTTCTATCCTTGTTTTGCCCTCTGAATCACTTGTACATTAGACACTCATTTGTTGTTGTTGTTGTTATGTGCCGTCGAGTCAAACCTGACTCATAGCGACCCCTCCTTGGGTTTCCGAGGCAGTATCACTACGGAAGTAGGATTGCCCAACCTTCCTTCCGAGGAGTGGCT